GTCCATCCATTTGCATGCAAAATTCAAGATGTCATTATTTTTTACCGCTGAGTAAAACTCTAATGTGTATATGTTCCACACCTTTTTTAACCATTCTTCTATTGAGGGGCACCTAGGCTGTTTCCAGGTTCTGGCTATTACAAATAGTGCTGCTATGAACATAGTTGAACAAATGCTTTTGTAGTATGCTAGGGAATCTCTAGGGTATATTCCCAAGAGTGGAATTGCTGGGTCCTGAGGGAGGTTGACTCCCAGTTTCCTGAGAAACCGCCACACTGATTTCCACAGTGGCTGCACAAGTTTGCATTCCCACCAACAATGGATGAGTGTTCCCCTCACCCCACATCCTCTCCAGCATAGGCTATCATTGGTGTTTTTGACTTTAGCTATTCTGACAGGTGTAAGATGGTATCTCAAAGTGGTTTTGATTTGCATTTCCATGATCGCTAAGGAGGTTGAACATGACCTTAAGTGTCTTCTAGCCATTCGAAGTTCATCTGTTGTGAATTCTCTGTTAAGTTCAGTACCCCATTTTTTAATTGGATTAATTAGAGTTTTAGTGCCTAGTTTCTTGAGTTCTTTGTATATTTTGGAGATCAGACCTTTGTCTGATGAGGGGTTGGTGAAGATCTTCTCCCAGTCAGAAGGCAGCCTTTTTGTCTTACTGACAGTGTCCTTTGCTTTACAGAAGCTTCTCAGTTTCAGTAGATCCCATTTATTCATTGTTTCTCTTATTGTCTGTGCTGCTGGGGTCCTACTTAGGAAGAGGCCTCCTGTGCCTATATCTTGTAGACTACTTCCCACTTTCTCTTCTATCAGGTTCAAAGTGGACGGATTAATGTTAATGTATTTAATCCATTTGGACCTGAGTTTTGTGCATGGTGATAGGTATGGATCTACTTTGATCCTTCTACAGGTTGACATCCAGTTATGCCAGCACCATTTGTTAAAGATGCTTTCCTTCTTCCATTGTATACCTTTAGCTCCCTTGTCAAAAATTAGGTGCTCATAGGTTTGTGGGTTAATATCCGGGTCTTCTATTCGATTCCAAAGGTCGATTTCTCTGTTCTTATGCCAATACCAAGCTGTTTTCAATACTGTAGCTCTGTAATAGAGTTTGAAGTCAGGGATCGTAATGCCTCCTGAAGTTCCTTTATTGTATAAGATTGTTTTGGCTATCCTGGGTTTTTTGTTTTTCCATATAAACTTGATTATTGTTTTCTCAAGGTCTGTGAAGAAGTTTGATGGGATTTTGATGGGGATTGCATTGAATCTATAGATTGCTTTTGGTAGAATTGCCATTTTTACTATGTTGATCCTCCCAATCCAAGAACAAGGGAGATCTTTCCATTTTCTGGTATCCTCCTCAATTTCTTTCTTCAAAGACTTAAAGTTCTTGTCAAATAGGTCTTTCACTTCCTTGGTTAGAGTAACCCCAAGATATTTTATGCTATTTGTGGCTATTGTGAAAGGTGATGTTTCTCTGATTTCCCTCTTAGCTTCTTTATCCTTTGTGTATAGGAGGGCCACTGATTTTTTGGAGTTGATCTTGTATCCTGCCACGTTACTAAAGGTGTTTATCAGCTGTAGGAGTTCTTTGGTAGAGTTTTTGGGGTCACTTATGTACACTATCATATCGTCAGCAAATAACGAAAGTTTAACTTCATCCTTTCCAATTTGAATCCCCTTGATCTCCTTATGTTGTCTTATTGCTATTGCTAGAACTTCAAGCTCTATATTGAAGAGGTATGACATCTCCATCATTTCTAGGAGAAACAACCTCAGCAGATTTCCCGAGTCCTCTCGCTCTTACGTATTTTAGCAATTTTATAAATGAAAGGAAAAGACTGAAGGGATAGTAGAAAGCACACTCAAAAAGATTTGGTAACTTATTTTTCTGTTTTCTTGATCTTGATGAAATAAACTGCTTGTGAAGTGGCTTGCAATGTGGAACATATTGGACTTACAAATAGAAATTTACATTGTGGATATTCTTGGGTTTTTTTTTTGGTTGTTGTTGTTGCTTTTGACTATACTTCTTATATTTGCATCATAAAAATACAAAATACCAAAGATGTTTTAGAGACAATTTCTAGATTTTAAGTGTTTGGAAGAGAGGGTGTTTATGTCCTTTGCTTTCAAAATACTTTAAATGATTTACAAACACTAATTAGACTTCTGCTTGAGTTACATTTCACATTATTTGCAGTGACTTTTGACAGACCCTTTTGTTGACATTTGTATACTTGTGAAGTATGTCATAATATTTGGTCCCTAGGAACCATTAGTGGTGAGAAAATACTACACATGTCCTATGAAAGTAAGATGATTGGATTTTTGTAGCAAAGATATTACATGGTTAAACTTTTCCTGTCAATGACCCTCTAAATAAAGTTGTCATTTTTCTTCCCAAGACAGGGCTTCTCTGTGTAGCCCTGGCCGTCTTGGAACTCAGTCTGTAGACCAGGCTGGTCTTGAACTCACTGAGATCTGCCTGCCTCTGTCTCCAAAGTGCTGGGATTAAAGGAGTGTTCCACCACCATCCAGTAAAGCTGATTTTTATCCAGATGCCTAATTTGTTTATCCACTGAACTTTGTGCTTGAGAAACTAAATTTAGGACATCATGGATAAAGACTCAGTCTGTAGATGAACGTATGTGAACAATTTCAACATCTTGTTATACTTGTCTTCTAATTTAACACACTTGAACTATCTTTTTGACTATTTTAATCTTTGTGCCATTGTAGAAAGAAAAGAAAATTCTGACTGTAGAGATATTATCCCTCGTATTACTCCAAACATTCTTGAAAGGTGAAATAATATTTATGGGTAACACTGTATCTTATTGTGTCATTTGGTATGTTAGTTAATACAGTCGTGCGACAGTAAGTGCCATATTATTTTAAATGTGTGAAGGCATCTAAAAAGGGACACTTTAAAATTAAAGAAATTTAACTTGATTATCTTTTCAACATGTAATTCTAAGATATTATCTTTTCAACATGTAATCAACACAAAATGATGGAAAATGATTTTCATTCATTGATTCAAAGTCTCTGAAAGTCCATGTGTACTTTGCACTCGTCATCTCAGTTCTGATGAGCCCCATTTACAGGCTCAGCAGTCACATATAGCAGTTGGAAACCACATTAAATGGCGCATTCTGGAATGATCTCATTTTATTTTAAAAGATAGTGTTGGGGAGACTGAAAAAAGAGGCTATGATTTTGAAAGAAATTTAGGAGGTGTCTATGGAAAAGTTTTGAGGGAGAAAGGGGAAGGGAGAAAGGATATAATTATATTGTCTCAAAATAAAAGAAAGAAAAACATATTTCTGACTTTTGGAAGGGGTATTAAATTGATTGATAAGGATAAGAGAGTTTCTAGAATGTCAAGTCATGAAAGAAAATTTTAAAGATGTGAAGAAACAAGATCTTAAACTTCCAGAATATACTTCAGATTTGTAAAGTACTTAAGAGATACTTTAACAATTGTAAAAAAAATGGTTCTCTTGTGCATACTGATAATTTCTCAGTGAAGAAAGAAAGGAGTCCAATGTTCTGTGGTGTACACCATGCCCAAGTCATTCGTACAGAGGAGTTTGCTCTTTCTTCTATGGGTACTACCAAACCTATTACTTCATTTTAGAGAAACTAAATGATTGAAGATTCACCTTCCTTGACTATACACTTGTGTTTTAATAATGTAGTTATGCTCATCCACACGACAGATGTTGTTATAGTTTAGGTCCTTCACATAGACACTGACTATTCTGCAAAGTTGCTGCTATGTTTCGGGTATTATTGTCATGTCATTCTAGTTTGGTCTACAAGAGAATAAAGTTTAATAAAAACACTAGATCATTTTGTTAAAGAATGGTTATTTTGACGAATGATCTAAGTACCTAGTGAAAAGGTGTTGCCTGGTCTGTCACATTTGGAGGCCACTATTCTCAGTGTGTCTCCTCACACAACCGGGGTGATCTACCCAGTATTCCTTCAGTGTTGAGGAAGCTATTTATAAACGTCATGAGACAGTCATGTAGTTAAAATTAGGACCTAACTCTTGTTCAGTCATCATCAGCGAAGCTTCTTCCTTCAGTAGATGGAAAAATACAGAGACTCACAATTGGACAATATGCAGAGAATGAGCAACCTTGGAACGCAGAGTCCTAAATGGAATGTTTCCATCAAACCTCTTCTCTCAGAGCTCAGGAAAGAGGCAGTGGGATGGAAGACACCAAAGAAGCAATGATTTTGATAAACACAGCACTGCTGCACTTATGAACTTATGGAGACTGTGGGAGCACGCACAGGGACGACACAGGTCCAAGCATAGACGTGATCTCCCATCCCTAACCAAGAAGCCGTCTTCAATTGACAACCATTTGCCAAGGGAAAATCCGCTTTCTTTAATAGATTCTCACTCAGTAGACATACCACACTCAATGACAGACCCCATGCCTAGCAGTAGACTGCCAACTCAGTATACAATCAATGTACTTGGGAGATTTTTGTTTGTTTGTTTCTTGTCTCACAATGTCTTGTCAGGGCTTTTATTTTATTTTTTTACCTTATAGTTTTTTGCTCATATACCATGGCTTCAAACTTTGTGTTTTTATGCGTTTTCTGTGTGTGAATTGTCCACATTTTTTCTGTCTATTTTCTAAAGAGAATGAGAGAGAAAAGAAGGTGTGGAGTTGAATAGGTGGGGGAGGATCTGGTAGGATGGAGAGGAAATCATGACCTAAAAAAAGAAAACCTATTTTCTATTTAAAAAATTAAAAATAAAATAGTCAAAAATCAAATAAAACTAGGACACTGTGCAATCTCATCCCTACTTGGGTAGCAAACTCTTTTGACCTCAACTGAAGTATTTCTTCCTCTTCCACAGTAAGAGAAATAAGCTCAAAGGGTTGACAGGATGTGTAAATAGACACACACACGCACACACAAACACACACACATACACAAACACAATTTCTTCATGTATTTTCATTTATTTTTAAATTTTATTGCATGTCCTGGCAAACAAAAGTGGCTTATAGATTTGCCTCTGGCTCACCAAAGCCCATAACACAAAAATACCAAAAGACAAGCAACTGAAGCTGTAAAAAAAAGTATCATGTCTATAAGAAAGTACCTTTTGAAAAAAAACATTATAAAGTATATAAAACATTTGACATTTGCTTAATTTTGTACAATTATAAAAATAAAAAACCCACATATCTTTCATAGTCAACATCCCACATACGTACTTGGGGGGAAAAGTCAAGAAAACAAAAGCTAAAAGGGTTAATAAAGAGCATCCTGCTTTCTATGCTGTTGACTTCATCGCCAAGCAAAGGAATCCCACTCTCCAGTGAGAGGCACTGAGCGGATGTCTGCTCTCCATGCTTTTCCCTGCAGCCCTGGCTGCTCACACCCTTTTAACAGCGGTGCGAGGAGAGGAACTGTGCCTACCTGTGGCTCATGACGAATGCCAAAATCACAGGGTACAGTACAGAAACTTCGAGTCCCTAGTGCCACCTAAATAGTGCTGAAATGCCTCAGAGTCCCCAGTGCCACCTTAACAGTGCTAAAACAGCCCCAATACGCACAACACCCGGGAAGTCATTTGTCTTCCGGACCTGGCCAAGGCACAGCTTCATTCTCCAACTAAGTGAATTTGCAAAGCTGTGAACTTGTCACAGAAATCAATAATGTTTCTCATCATTTAAACACAGCAAACCGTTGAAATTAAGGACTCATTCTCTTTAACATACAAAATTAAAAAAATTAAAAAACAAATTTCCCTTCCCCCCATCTTACAATTAAGATATCATGTCTTCAACAGAAGTTTCAGCTGTGGTTCTGGAAAACCCAACCATCCCCAAAGAGAAAACCCAAACAAACAAAGCCCGCACGGTATGCAATTTCACACACGCACACACACAATGGAAGATTTTCTGGGGAAAGCCATACGTTACATTTCAGAGGCACATTCGCCCATTTGCACTTCCAAATACCAATGGGATGTCACGTGCAGTGAATGACAACCTTTTATCAAAACACGTGGCAGGACTGTGGAGCTCACTAGCATATACACAACACATGCTTTCCACTGGGAAGATATATATATATATATTTATATATCTGTGCCAAAATGCTTCCAAAACGTCTAGGAGGAACACTGACTCTTGCACGCTGACATAAAGTGTAAGACAAGTCTTTGTGATGCGGTTTAAAAAGCTTCAGTGAAGAGTGTCTTCCTTGACTTGTGGACATCTCTATGTCTACACAGCCTGGAACGGGCTGGGTGGAAAACTAGATCTTGACACCTGCTTTGAGGATCAAGAGGAAAGCATTGGCAATGCAGCTCCTGTCACGTGAACACTGCACTCCTCGGTTTCTAGTTAAGCCTCTGCTCCCATTCCAGACCTTGAAGAGAGGCAAACCCGCCTCTGTACACAGTGTTTTGTGGACAGGAAAGGGTTTTAAAGGTCTGTTTCCCAAGCATTGCTCCACGCTTCAAGAGGAACTTAAATTCACAGTTGGATGGGACATCTTTTTTTTTTTAGCGGAGATTCAGAATTTGAGTCAGGTTTGCTTTTCCAGAATATTCGTAATAGATATTACAACTCCCTGTAAAAACCAGACAAATTCCACTCATCCTGACTAATTGGCCTAAATTCTTACAAAAGCGGTGAATATGTATTTTACTTGGTCAATCCAGTCGTGAAATTTAGTTTCAAGGCTATTCCAATGGTAGCAGATATTTTCCTGCTAAATATTAGCCCCTTGGGCCTTAAATGTCAAGGGGCCACTGTTATACTTGCCTATGTCCCATCAGAAGTTTGGAATAGCTGACTTGGACCATTTAAGAATTTCCAGGAAAAAAAAAATCAAAAAACTGTTTTCCTCATTCTCAAACAAAAGCAAGAGAGGTTGTTCTTTCCTATAGTGTGTGACAAAAGCAAACATGAAAGTTTGCTTGTAATAGCCACCGAGAGAACCAGTCCGACTGGAATGGACACCGGTAACATGAAATATTCTGACAGAGAAACTGTGTACATATATACAGCTTTACCTCATAGTAAGCAATGGTAAACACACTGGATGCATCCACAGGTTTGATGTGCTCAATGCTCAACATCCAAAGAACTGAGAGGACCTATACATCACTGTTATTCACATAGACCACTCAACTCTACATATCTGCCACCATACATGATACCCCTGTTAAAGGGAGACAGATCAATCATCCAAACAAGCAAATTTCCAAAGTTGATAAGTGCAACTCAATTTCCATTAAATTACATTTAAACAATACTCAATACCCCCACCCAAAATATATATTGTATATTTATATATTTATATATATTTATATATATAGTCTTAGACTATAAGGCTGAAAATGCTTTATAAAAGTCAATGAGAGTTCTCTGCTGCTTAAAGAGACCCGCTGCTTCTTTGCTAACTTCTATGTAGCAAGGACAACTCATCCCGCAAGCAAGAGTTTTGAAGGCTTAAAGCCAGAATCAGAATTAGGTGACAGGTCAGACTTTCGGCAACAGGTAGCCTCTTCTCAGTCCCTTTGGAAACTAGACTGAGAAGAAAAAGGAGAAGCGCTAGCAAGAATGCTTTGAAGATCAAGCAAGTGTGCCCTGCAGGGGCTGGGAGGTGGGAAAACACAGGACAAGCCCTGCAGTGGGCGCTCATTCCCCTTCCTCTTTGATGCGCTGCTGTTTGTTGCTGCGACGGGAATCCATGTCGAAGTTGAAGTCATTCCACTCGTCGCGGGGTGGGAAAGAGATGGTCTGGCGGAGGGTAAACCGCACGGCATCAATCACGCGTTCACCGCGGGTCTCACTGGAGCCCACACTGACTGTCGAAGCACCGCTTGGGGTCCTCAGGAGATGCGGGGGTGAAGAGAAGTCATGCAGCTGCCTGTGGTCTAGGATACCCTTCCAGATGGCATGCCGGAACTGCTCAGGGATCTTCAGACTTGCCAAATCCTGTGCAAGAGGGAGGAGCCTAGACATTAGAGGGCGGACACCTAATCTTTTATTACATACTGTTTTTCATTCTTTGGTGTTTGGGCTTAAATGATCTGAATTTATTATCACTAACTTGGCAGATAAAACTAGCTTTCTGACCGACTTCCGGATGTTATGTTACTGAGAACGAAGGTAGGACCCAGGTGGGTCACATGCGCTGTGGACAACAATTCACTCGTTCTTCATTGGCCCCAGTTTCTCCATGTGCAAAATAGTGTAGACAGTAGTTAAATAAGAGGGCAAAAATCTCAACAAGAAATTTAAGATTCTTCAAATCTATGGGGCTTTAGCTACCAGAAGAAAGGTGTTAATGGAGTGACTCTAACAATGGGGGAAGAAGATTCTCATAGGGATTGAGAGTTTCCTAAGTACCAAACTATTTAGTTTATATTCACAATCCTATTTAATCTTGAAATTAGTGCTGCATATTATTATGCCCATTTTATGGACAGAAGAACAGAAGATTAGGTTTGCAAGCCTTGAAGTTCTATCATAAGGTAAATACATTGTGAACTTAGGAATAGTTTTTGGGCCTGCAATTATCCTATGGACCGACAGGTCTATGGGTATGTGCATAAAGAACATTGAAATGCACAGCAGTTGTGTCCATGCACTATGGGAAGGACAAGAGGTCTTTCTGGCAGAGTTAGTCTTAAGTAGGCATGGTGCATGCCTTCCATTGGTTGGCATTAGCTTATTTAAAATGCTTCAGCTCAATGAAGTGGCAAGGTGGGCAGAAAGCAGCTTAGCAGACGGCGTCTGTTCTTAGTTTCCCACTTGGATGCATTGGAGACAATTGCGTCTTTGCATCCTAGATACTAGGGGCTCATAAGTGAGGGTGGGTATGACATTATAGATACTGTGGGCTCATGGGTGGGGGTGGGTATGACATTCTCGAAACTCCAAAACACATACTGTACTGCTTTCATTTGCATTATGAACTCAGCTAGGAATCGGAAGATACTCAATGTATTCGAGTAGGGGATGAATCAGAAATGGACGCTAAAATAGCAGACTGCTGCAAAGACACAAGAGGTGTCTGTTTCCAGAAGTGCACAAAATGATGCTGAGGGGAAGATGAGAAAACTGAGTCGTTTTCCAAAATGTCCCAACTCAGAAACCTGCACCATGCTGTCATAGTGTCCCATTCTAAGTGTTTCAGACCATCACAGCGACCTTAACTTCTTCTATAGAAGAAGAAAGCATCGTAAGAAGACAATAATCCACTAGTAGACTAAGTTAGCATGCTAGATGTCTTCTTGCATTCTTTATACCTCTGAGACTCTGAATGAGCCCAAGATTCTCTGTAACCTCAGCACCACTACGAGACAACATTAACAGAAACGGATTTGTGGGAATCACCTCTGAGCAATAATGGCTGCAGGGGAATCCTGGCACTTCCCAGAGGGGGCAAGTCTACAAGTGAGTATTCTGGAAGGACACAGGGAAGCAGCAGACAGACTTTCTGTTCTACCACACAGGACTCCACTATGGGTAGTTCTCAAACACAGGGCCACTCTGCTTTCATCCATGGAGAAACGTGATTTTCAAGTAGTCTAAGTCTGTCAGAACTTACTCCTAATGCATTCTCTATAGTTTCTACCTATGGTAGGCTCTATCAAGGAAGCACCAGGAGTGATGTTTAGAGTTGGGAGGGATGGGCATAAGACAGCGTGGTACACACTGATCTCTATGGGGCTGGGGCATCTCGTGCTGCAGGGACATCTCTAGCATCGGTGCTCAAGGAGGGGAAGGAGTCCCCACTACAGAAACAGCAGCAGAGGCAGAGACTGTCTCCTCCCATCAGTCCAAAGTGCCATCTGGAAGCTAGAACGGAGGACAGCACATGCCACAGAGTGCGCTAGAAAGAGCAGCCAAGGAGGGAGGCGGAGAACCAGGTTGTTGAAATGCAAACAAAGTAGCTCCCATGTATGCAGAAGTTCAAGAAATGGAGTGGAAAGCATGAGAAAGTTCCATCACATGCAGCTTGTTTCAAAGACTTTCCAAGCCAGAGGGGAGGGATTTGTAACTCAGTTAGATTAACTGAGGCCCCGAGAGGCAGTGACAACCTCAAATTTCACTGCTACTAAAAGTCCTGCCCAGGACGCAGGCTTATGGCCAGTAATCATTCCTGATGATAGGGGCAGGGAGCTGGGCTGACAGCATTTCAAATGAATAGAGGGTCTTACAGTATTGAAAGGTACAGTTGACTCATCCTTAAAGGCTCTGCATTAAGGAGAGGTGGACACAGCCAGTGAACAGGGTCACAGGCTAGAGATTTACAGCCAGGCTTCTCTTTGTGGTACCACTATGAACTCACTATGGCCAATGACACTTTTGTCATTTCTCCGTATGTCCTTCCTGCTCTCCTCCCCGGTGATTTAAATATACTTTAATATATATTAAAGTATATATATTTTACTTTATATACTTTACAATCTCTGGGTAAGCCTCACTATGTTGCCCAAGCAGGTTTCAAACTTCTGAGCTGAAGTAATCCTCCTGCTTCAGTCTCCCAAGTGCTTGGTTTTCAACCACCTGCCTTGAGACTAAAGTTTCTAGGTTGCACAAATTCTCTATTTACTTTCTCATGTGTGTACACTTGGGTGCAATAAGCCAAAGCTTTATGATCAGGTTTACTGATTGTTTAGCTTCTAACCTGGAAAGTCTTTCTGACAGCGTTACGGCTCCATCAGAATTGAGGGTTAGAAGCACAAAGTCTAAAACTAGCGTGGATGGAACTATCAGGTGTGTGGACCAGAGGGCGAAAAATGAAGAAATTTTACTAAAGAGAAAAGTCTAACAGTTACTTACATCCATGGAGTAATGCTCAATCTGATAGATGGTGGTCAGCCCCTGGGTCGTGAAATAGTCCAGACATGATGAACAGCCCAACCTTGCTAAGAAACTGCAGAGGGAGGAGGGAAAAGGAAGGAGGAAACAGAAAAAGAAAGTTCACCCCAACTGCATTGGCGAGGTAAAGGAAAACCCATTATTTTGCCCTTGGATGCCCTGCATAAGAGTCTGGGGGCAAATGAAGTATGTGTGGGCCTCGGATTTGAGGTTTGAGGATTGCTAAAAACTCCAACTTTAGGTAAACTGACCACAGAAATTGAGCACAAGCATTCTAGAAGGTGACGATTTTTCAGTTGGCAATCTGAGTTAGCCTTTTGAACAAAAGCAGGAGGAATCATGGGGGCAGGGTACAGGCAAAGGGTCCAGTGGTCAGGTCCCTAGTCCTCTTGCCTCCTGTCTCGTCAAATTAAATTGAGAATCACTACATTTACTATTTTCTGTTTGGGTGTTTTTTAGAATGTTTTAGACAGTTGAAATATTGTAGGCTAGTACTCCGAAATATCAATACGTGTGGATCTATGTCCTTAACACACAGATCTTTCTCTTTGAGGTACGAGCCTGAGTCTGGTGATGTCACTGTCATCTCAGAATCGATTTCTGCTGAGCTAAGCCATGTACCGCATCACCTCTGTGGCTAACATTGCACATGGATGAAACATGCTCGGCCAGCAGCCAAAGGAACAAAGCATGCTTGCCCAGAAGCAGAGGACATGCCCGAAGCATGGACCATGGAGCTGCATGTGCCTCTGTGAGAAGCGTCTTTAAGGCTTTGTTAGCTTCTGGCTGTAAGAAACCTGCTTCTCTGGAGTGTTCCCATTTCTCAGGGGAGTGGCAGGGGTTCTTCAAATTTCAGAGTTTTGCTCATATCAAAATGTTTTATAGACATCCAACTCCAAAATCATGGTCCCATGGTGACTAAGAGCTGTGAGGCCTGGAGAGCAGGAAAGGGAGTAGGAGAGCCAGTTCATGTCCCTCTGGGGAGACCCAGCCCTGAGCACCAATTCATGGGCCACAACTGACCTGTAGAACGAGGAGGGAGAAGGGAGCAAATGAAGACCACACAACAGGTCTGAAACCTGTGTGCACATGCACACATTTCCACTTTCCCCACACTGGCTATAGGCCTTCTTGTTAGAGCTATGCTGGCCACCCTACACATCAGACTCAACTTCCTCAAATCTCAGGACAGCGTCCTTTCTTCTCAACCATGTGATCAGCCTTGCCAGTGTCTACCCTCCCCCCTCAGGTGCCTAGGGCCGGCCCCAGGAGCACGGGCTGTGCACTCACCTGACAATGCTGCAATCTGTGGGGTACGGAGGTGGGGGAGTGCAGTGGGAGGTGGATGGCATGGAGAGTGGGGGAGGGAGGGCTTGGGTGGGGCTGAGTCCATTCATGTCTCCAGCCATTGGCATGTGAGTGCCCATCATAGGAACTGGACAGAAGCAGGAGGAATAGAAAGGGTTACTAGATGATCATTCCCCAGCATCCCAGGGGTCTACCTGCCCTTGTTGAGTATTACCAGAAAGCTGTGGGCTTTGTTTTTTCTTATTGCAGGGGAGGGTTTCCTAACTTCTCTATATCCTTTCACACACTCCATGCCTAGCCAAGCAGAACAGAACCAGAACTCCAAACTCATTACAGATTTCTAGACCTTTGTTTCCTTAGGAATCTCTTCTCACTCTTGTTCCTTTCTCCTAAGCTGATATGTTCCTCCTTCTTCGGGAGAGAATGGGCTATAATTTGGTTTATCTTATGCACTCATAAGATAAACTCATCTCCTGTAGCAGAGAGATTAGCTCTCATCAATGTTTCTAGCCTCACAGGCATCGCAGACTTCCTGGCACAGTGAGATGCCCAAAAGCTTGTCCTGAGAGGAATGTAAGCAAACAGGAGTTATTAAGATCTGTGTGGAAACAGGAGGACTTGCTATCATATTGGTTTGGGACCCTTATGCCTAGTAAGAAAAAAGAATCCCAGATTCTAACTCTGTTATATAATCCACTTGAATTCACCAATATCACCAATACTTTGCAAAACCATGAGCTTCAAGTATTCACTTACATGCCCACCCCCCAAAAGTTTAGTACTAATAAAATTTATGGAACAAATTTTGATTTCTGGAAAAAATAATATATCTAGAAAATAAGTATATAATTTGTATCTTCTTTACTAACTAGAAGTATGGCTCAGGGGAAGGACCCCGGTGTGATGTAACCAGCTGCAAAGTACAATTCTGAGACTTCTCCATCTGCTTCCCTTCAGACATCTCTGAGTGCAGCAGAAAAGAGCTGTGTACTAGAAATAAAATGTAAGCTATGGAAAAGTGTGGAAACGTCAAGTATTACTGCTACCACTATCTTTTTGCTAGAGCAAACGGGGATATTTTAATTACTGTTATAAGAAAGAAGATAAAGTTGAATGGCTTCCTATGCAGTTGGGTTTGGGACCTGGGTTGCCTTATCAGGGTGAGAGAGGAAGCCTATTGTGAAGTCCCTGTTGGCAGATTATCTCAATGAGAAATCAACACGGGCTGCCAGACCACAGGCGATCTCAGGCTCTCTTAGCTTCTTTAGGATAGGCTGGGATTTCCAAAGGAAAAAAAAATTGAAGATTGGGTCACAATAATTAGGGATTTTAAAGGACTAGATGATAGGATCTTATTTTTTTCATTGAGTGGGAATTTTAGGAACCATGCAGTGTTCCATTCTCTCTATCCGTGAGGATATTATTTATCCTTTTGCATTTTTACTATTATTCATTCCATTCAAATCTCTGCATCCCCTTTGTCTGGTGTACTTATAATAGACAAAGCAAATACGTTTCTCGAAAAAGCTATGTGCCAATTAGCATCTCCTTATTTAGAGTCAGTTTTTGCATTGCCTTTTATATCTCCACTGAGTTACTGGGAGGAATTCGTATGTGTACAGAAGTAAAGGGGAAGCCTCCTTATGGGTTGATTCCCTGCTTACTGCATCTGGAATGAAGTCAGACTATAAAGCCAGAGATGCATAAGATGCTCAATGTGTGGAGGGATTGTTGTAGAGACAGAGCAAAAGCGCAAAGAACTAACTTGTCTGCCCTTGCACAGCTAATTCTGCAAGGATCCGGAGGAGAATCAATAGTTTCATGCTTTTAGTCTAGCGCTCCATACTTCTTCCCTCGTGTCAGATACACTTCTTATAAACCGTTGTGTCAGAGACAGTTTGTGGAAGGCTTCCATCTAGGCTGTCTCAGTGAGATCCTTATCCCTACTGAGGGAAGACTTCACCCACATAATCTATCTCTGCGACGCTGTCTTGCAGTAAAACCCATACCTCCAGAATGTGAAGCTAACTGGAAAAGCCAAGTCAGTCAACTGTGGTGGCCTCTGCCTCTGTGGCACTTAGCTTAGAGAAGAACATCTGTGCCACGTTAAAGCGCGCTTCTCCTGTACTAGCCCTGTGCATCCTTTGGCAGCTGAAGAGAGAGATGCTTACTGTTGGCTCCCATGCCCTCAGGCAGGGTGGTGGGGGTGAGGGCGTTGCGCTGCTGTGGGTTGATAAGCTGGCTCACGGAAGGCAGCTTGTTCATGCTGTTCATTTTGCTCAGAGGTGGGGAGCTGTTACCGTAGGAAGACTGAGACTGCATCGAGGTCCTGGGAACACAAACATGGGAATGGTGGTCAGCATGGGCTACTGAAAAGCAGGACTGGTCATTTCCAGCAGCCTTAGATTAAAACCTGCCCTCGAACTAATCCTCATGATTAATGACCTTGAGTCCTTGTTTGTCCATGAGAGACTCAAAGGGAGGGATGCTAAACCATCACAAAAACCACTATTTTCTGGATGATACACAGCAGCGTGTTTAGTATCTCATTGGCGATAGGGAACATTGACACGCTTCTTTCCTTCTTATTTCCTCCATCTTCTTCCTCTCTCTCGTTTTTCAGCTTGATTAAATCTTAAAACCAGTGAGTAGAGAGAAGAACTTTGCAAGGCACACAGGCTGATGAAGAACAGAAAGACATCAAGCTCAATTTGCAATGGAAGCCCTCCATTTACAACTTGCCCAGGCGTTTGGGAGGCACAGCAAATATCTGAGAGCCAGTCATCTGAGGCATCTGACAATGTTGTCAGATATTCTACAGTCCTACGGAAAACCCCAAGGTATAAATACGTTTCCTCAGCTGAGATCTTTATGAGCCAACTGTGATTCTATGTAGGAGAACCACTGGGGTGTTGACTTTCTACAAGTCTTTCGTGTGTGTGTGTGTGTGTGTGTGTGTGTGTGTGTGTGTGTACACAAATATAGTACTCATAAAAAGGCTATAGCCATGCAAACAATAGGTCCAGTCATGTACCCTTGCTGTACGAGCTACACTGCTAGTAGCAGGAGATCTAAAATGCATCATTTTTCATCTTTGAGAGACTCACAAAGAAGTGGTTCTAGCAAGGATAACCATCCCTCATCCATTGGAGGACGGAGGTAGAAACTGGAGAGGAGATACTAAGGACCGACTGCGGAGACTGTAGCCTTCACAGTGACTAATTGCTAAGACAATAGAACGAGGCTTTGAGCGCATGGGAAAAATTCTCCTTTGCAATTCATCAAACAGTTCATCAATTTTGTCCTGATTTGCCTCCTTTGGACCACGGTCATAGTCTCATAGATATATTAAAAGGCAAATGTGACTTTTTACGTGGCTTTTATTTTTATATGCATTTGTGAAGGATATCAATATTGAATGCTTTGTAAAATATAAAGACTTTTAAAGGACGGCTCTAAATATTTGTTCTTCAGGTAATTTCTGAAGATGCACTGAATTCCCCATAGTTGTCTATATTAGTGCAGACCACTAGCCAGGGTAAAGCAAACAATACGCTCTCCAGTTATTTGTGGAAATTAGGATGACTTTACAGAACAACAATATTTTGCACCATTGTTTTAAATTTTGTTCTCTTGAACCCTTTCCAAGTGGTACAAAGAAGCATCATATAACAACTGTGCAATACCCGCTCCCCACCAACTCCCGCTGTTATGAGACACCTCAGTTTACCTGGCTGTCTTTCTCCCAAGTCTGAATAATTGCCACTACTGTGAAACATGTCACAGCATAGTATGGAAGCACACAGTGAACAGATAATTATTATTAATGTTTGAAGAACGAGTAAATATGAAAAGCTAAGAAAATATGCCCAAATGCCCAGTGCCCATTGCTAGATGGATGGGTTAGGATAGGAAAGTGTCTGCTGGCACTCAGTCCCTGACTTTTTTTCCTTTTGGGGGGAACATGTCTCAAAAAATAAAATGATGGTGGGTAACAAGGCTGCAGGATCAAGAAGCTTGAAGCACTAAGATAAATGTGAAAGGTCAAAGTAGGCAAGGAGTAATGATTACGTAAAGGGAATCTAACAGCTACCAAGAAATTCTAAGTCTACACCACCACTGTGTTTCAGGAGCCTGATGGGGAGTCAGCACATTCACATCAAGCCAGAAGCATCTGAAAGATCGTGTCCAGTACAGAGAGACACAAAGTAAGGTAGCAGGGAGGGATTCAGGCTGCTGCTTCTACGCTTCTCTTGGTTCGTCATAATGTAGCTATGAGCTAGTCACCCATATTCCAGATACAGATAGGATCTTTAACTTGAAAAGGCTCCATATTCTTCTCCATCTTCCCAAGTAGGTGAACATGTAGCCAATGCTAACGATAAGAATAGTTTTAACCAGTCACTTTAATCCCAGCACTTGGGAGGCAGAAACAGGCAGATCTGTGAGTCCGAGGCCAGCATGGTCTACAGGAGCTAGTTCCAGGACAGGATTCCAAACTACAGAGAAATTCTGTCTCAGAAAAACCAGAGAGAGAGAGAGAGAGAGAGAGAGAGAGAGAGAGAGAGAGAGAGTAGTTTTAACCATTAGTAACTGCAATCGGGAAGATAAAAGTATGTGACTGATGAACTTTACATTTGCCCCTGGACTTCAATTCACAATGTATTGCTATTTCCTGTATCCTGCTAAAACCTGTGGTCATTATTTTTTTGCTAACTTATTATCCAATTTTCTACTTTTCGACTATAATAAACTTAATTTTAGGAAGAGACCCTGGAAAAAACAGATGAACAGTGAAGAAACCTGAATTTAGGAGCCAATCAAAATGTTTGTTAGCGTCTCGATATGAGATGAATTTATGAAGTGACCGAATTTGATCTGTGTCTCACCTGAACTTCCTTTCCTTAGGGCAAGCCTCAGGCTGGCTCCACAAGAGTGCCTATGAAGTCTGAAGGAGCTCGGGTGAGAGTCCCGGATGTTGCCCACTATCTCAGAGACACTGAGAATCTTCATCCATTCCTACTCCTTACAGTCCCACATGGTCAGTTTATAACTTAGTATTTTGTGAAGGAAATGTAAGGTACCAACATACAAATTCATAAGGAGAAATGGCCAGCCTTGACACATATATTTAATTGAGTAGACTTAAAAAATGATTTTGGATAATGTCAAAAGGGTCATAGATTTTGAATGCACCCACTAGAACATGAGTGAGTCTTATGGATACAAAGATGAAGGACAGGGCACTGTGATCATTACTGACTCCACAGTGTCTGAAATGGACAGCCATCACACACTTAGGAAAATGAGTGATCCTGGGTGAAAGTCACAGCCCATTCAAAGGCCCTGAAAAACAGTCAAATGCTTGGCCATTACAAGTGCAATACCATGGTCCTTGAGCAAACAGTCCCCATAAACATCAAAAAAGAAACAGAAGCTTTGTTGACTTGATTGATCGTTCTTACTTGTGCCCTCTGTCCTTGTCACCCACTCCAACCAAAGGTCAAGCACTAAACTGTGATGACAGCTGCTCCAAAGGACAAAGTGGTGTGGTTTCTACTGGAGGGCGTTTCTGGGGAGGCTTACTATGGTTCCAGACAGCTAAGCTTCCTCGAGCTATAACCTTAGCAGATACTTGGGACACATTAGTAATACTTAGGAAATTTAGTAAGCCCAAGTCACAGGTTTGTTTTGTTTTCTTTTTCAGTGGTGGTGATTGAACCTAGGTCCTTAAACATGTCATTAGATTCTCTACCCCCAATCTTATTTGTCCACAGCTCACAATTCCTGGTTTTTAACTCTCAAACCATTAACTTCTGTGTGCCTTGCTAAGAATAACATTTAGAATCCCAGGGACAGATGTTCTTTTAAATCAGTGGTTCTCAGCTTGTGCGTCACAACCCCTTAGGGGGATCACATATATCAGATATTCTGCATATCATATTTTACATTATGATTCACAATAGTAGCAAGATTACAGTTATCAAGTAGCAATGAAAATAATTTTATGGTTGGGGGGTCACCGCAGCATTAGGAACTATGTTAAAGGGTTGCAACATTAGGAAGGTTGAGAAGCACTGTTTTAAATGATCTGGGATTAGAAATTAGGTTTCCAGTTTCTGCCTTTCATGATTTTGTGGTGAAAGATAAACTTCATGCTAAGTTCCAGGCTACATCTAAGGCCTTCTGAACCCTTGCTTGCTCCTCTTTCTTCATTTAAATCCTTTCATTATACGAACTAAAACTTTCAACTCAAATTTTGAGACATAGCAGAAAAAAAATATTTTGCCAAGCCATTTCTAGAATGCTCAATATAGAAAGGGGAAAGGAATAGTGAAGGGGAGGGACACTCCGAATATGAGGAAGGTTAAAAAACAAAAATAAGTAGAAAAATAATTATATCTCTTCTAATTATTTCCCAAGTACAGGCCCTGTCTGTGGCCTGTACACAGGGTAAGCATGCCTCTAAAGACCATGGGTAGCAAGAGTTCTTTAGAAGGTCAACCATAATAAAGAAATATATTCCATCATTTTAAATATACACACTCATATAAAGGTTGCTATAAGTACAGAGAAAATTTACATAAGAATAGTTAAAAGAGAAAAATGTTTCTGAAAGAAACGTCAAAAAATAATCTAAGAACGTTCTCCGATTCTTTAAGTAATTATGGCTCAAAATTACTAACTGAAATATAACAAGGGAATCAGAATTTACTAATATACTTTAATTTCTTGTCAAGATATTTTTATCTTATGCTTTTTATCTGCTACTTGCTTTGGTGCATTTACTAAAACTTCATTGGAAAGAGGAATTACAATAACATAAAGCCCAGAACACACAGACATTTAGATCCCTAAACTTAGGATATTGGCCGCACTCTAGATTACTGACCAAAGACTTTATGGCATATAAACCTAATTATCTGATACATTTGAACTTAGTTTAACTTTAATTAGTAAATCTGTTGATTTTAAACAAAGTTCAAAACTTATTCAGCTGCCTTTTGGTACTCTAGAACATTCAGTATTCACAGGGCAAAGCCTGTTCATTTAGACCAATGTTTCTCACCTTTTGGGGGTGACATATCAGATATCCCACATATTAAATATTTACACTGTAATTAACAACAGCAGCAAAATTACAGTTATGAAGTAGCAAAGAAAAATTTTACAGTTGGGGGTTGCCACAACTTGAAGAACTATATTATAGGATCGTAGCATTAGGAATGTTGGGAACCACTGACTCAGGCATTGTAACTAGTTTTTCAGAGTGTTAACCTGGATATAATATCTTAAATAAAATTACAAAAGAAACAGAGACACGACCAC